GGCTCCGATAGGTCCTTTCCTTTAAAGTGGATAGCACTTTATATGCGATGGGAAGGAGACTTATTCATATCAGTAAATTTGCATATCCGTAAACTTATTAATATTGACTTAAGTTTTAAGGTAACCCCCATATAACGGTACGTACTCCCCAAATACTCTGAATTTTGGAGATTTTGGACACATTTTCAACCGAATTGTCCGTAATTGTGTAAAAGCGTAGCCGCCACAATACGGCACCCCCTAATATGGTGATTTTTGACTCACTTTCCAATCATATTGACGCACCAAAAATTATTATAGACCCAAGTTGGTATTTTGGACACATTTTTCAACTGAATTAGCTGTAATTTGGTATTTTTTTTTATTCTCATTAGCTGTCAAATCTCAACGAAATGACGTATTCAATATATTGATCATTATGCTGGGCCGATTTTTATGCCCTTCACCACACTGTGTTACAGCGTATTATGTCTTTGTGCATATGTTTGTAACAGGCAAAAGGAACCGATATAGACGCATTTTTCCTTTTGAGAATATGCATAGAATAACTTTCTAAATCGATTTATACATATCCCTCGGTCCATCCGTCCGTCTGTCCATGGTAAATTGTAAACAAAGTACAGGTCGCATTTATGATCAGATTTGGATTAAAGTTGGCATAGATCACTTGTTTGGCCCAAGGACGAACCCTATTGAAATTGGGAAAAATCGGTTCGGATTTAGATATAGCTCCCATATATATTTTCGTCCGATTTAATGTAAATTGTGTACCAAAGTCTCTATAAAAATTTCGATTTCCTCGAAATTTGGCACAGCGTACGGAATTAAGTCTAGAGTGATGTGTGTTAAGTTTCTTGAAAGTCGGTTCAGATTTAGATGTAGCTCCCATATATAGTTTCGTCCGATTTTATAAAAATGTGGGACTATAAGTACCAAAGTCCCTATATATCACGAAATTTGGCATAGCGTACTCGCTTAAGTCTAGAATGATGTGTGCTAAGTTTCGCGAAAATCGGTTCAGATTTAGATATAGCTCCCATATATAGTTTCGTCCGATTTTATGTAAATGGTGCGCCAAATTCCCTACATATATTTCGATTTGCACGAAATTTGGCATAGCGTACTCGAATAAGTCTAGAATGATGTTTGCTGAGTTTCGTGAAAATCGGTCTAGACTTAGATATAGCTCCTATATATAGTTTCGTCCGATTTTATGGAAATGGTGCACTAAAAGTACCAAATTTCCTATATATCTTTCGATTTGCAGGCAATTTAGTATAGCGTACGAAATTAAGTCTAGAGTGATGTGTGCTAAGTTTCGTGAAATTCGGTTCAGATTTAGATATAGCTCCCATATATAGTTTCGTCCGATTTTTTGTAAATGGTGCACCAATTTCCCTACATATATTTCAATTTGCACAAAATTTCGCATAGCGTACTCAATTCAAGCTAGAATGATGTTTGTTGAGTTTCGTGAAAATCGGTCTAGACTTAGATATAGCTCCTATATATAGTTTCGTGCGATTTTATGGAAATGGTGCACCAAAAGTACCAAAGTCCCTATATATCTTTCTTTCCCATTTGTATGTTTTAGGTAAATGTTGCACCGGTTGACACGAAACGTTGAATACACCCAAAGTGGTGAAGGGTATCATATCACAAAAAAATAAGTTTTCGGTCTACTTCATCCCAAAATCATTGTCCCCATCTCCATGTAAAATTTCCATATTTCCTTCACCCTGGGTTGTGTTGTGATGTTCGGCTTATAATTGTGTCCCATATATCGATTCGAAAAAATCACAAAAAAAAATAAGTTTTCGGTCCACTTCATCCTGAAATCATTATCCCCATCTCCATGTCATATTTCGCGTTTTCTTTCGGCCCATAATTGCGGTATCTGGACAAAAATAAAGAAGATCCCCAACCTAATCGCATCTAATTCACTTGATGCGATTCTAGTATGTGACGAAAATCGATTTCCAAATATAAATATATTGTTACAAATTTTAATAGCAGCTGAAAGAAGGTTTTCTAGCCCACGTCGAGTAGCTGAAAAATCAAATACAAATCCCACGTTTTTCTGTCTATGCATAAATCTAAAAAAAACTTAATTATCTACTCATCTCATCTCAAAATTTGTCTTTTTTCATTTCGCGCCATTTTGTTAATTTTTGTGCGACGTTAAGAATCCTAGTTCATACAAGAGCTAGACGTGTACTATTTTGATTGCGTTTTGAATTTTTGGATTCGGACTTTTCATTGGTCGGAAATCATGCCCGCCATTGAAAAGAATATAATACCCGTTCATTTGCCAGCCGTTTGAAAATCGGAAATCGGGGGCGGCTGTTTTCCCTTAAGATCATCCCAAGTGTCGAATCATTAATCTATGCGTATTATACCGAAACAAGACAGCACACATATTCGCAAATTTTTTCCTGGAAGAAGCACTTCGAAGGAAATGGTCACCTGTTTCATGCCGACTGTTCGTTTGAGAAAGAATAAAACCATTTTTATACCCTTCACCACACTGTGGTACAGGGTATTATGTCTTTGTGCATATGTTATGATAGACCCATGGTTCCTTTTGAGAATATGCATAGAATCACTTTCTGAGTCGATTTACGCATGTCCGTCTGTCCGTCCGTCTGTCCGTCCGTCTGTCCGTCCGTCTGTCCATGTATTTTGGTTAACAAAGTAGAGGTCTCATTTATGATCCGATTTGGATAAAATTTGGCACAGTTCACTTATTTGGCCCAAGGACGAACCCTATTGACATTGGGAAAAATCGGTTCAAATTTAGATATAGCTCCCATATATAGTTTCGCCCGATTTAATGTAAATGGTGTACCAAAGTCCCTATATGTCCTTCGATTTGCACGAAATTTGGCATAGCATTCTGAATTAAATCTAGAACGATGTGTGTAAAATTTCATGAAAATCGGTTCAGATTTAGATATATCTCCCATATATATTTTCGTCCGATTTTAGGTAAATGGTGCACAAAAGTCCCTATATATCCTTCGATTTGCACGAAATTTGGGATAGAGTTTTGAATTATGTCTAGAACGATGTGTGTACAATTTCACGAAAATCGGTTCAGATTTAGATTTAGCTCCCATATATATTTTCGTCCGATTTTATATAAATGGTACAACAAAGTCCCTATATATCCTTCCCTATATATTCTTCATTTTATGTTAATGGCCCTTCAAAAATGCGACGTCTGTTAGAATTCCATCTGTTGAATATACCCAAAGTGGTGAAGAGTATCATATAGTCGGCCCCGTCCGACTTTACTACTTTAGACTACAATGACGTTATTGCGTTTTGTTGAAATTGGTGCAGATATAAACACAGCTTTCATATATATTTCAAACGGGTGTCTGATTAAGATTAAATTTTGAAGAGTGTTGCCTACCGAATAGAGTGTATCAAGTTTGCTCTAAATCGATTTACATAAATGTGTCCCATTGTACGCAAACGACTATAAACTTGCCACAAATGAAATAAAATGTGCTTAGGTTCCAGAAGGGCATAAATATCGCATATTCAAGTTCGTTGAATTTCATGTCAATGTTCTTTCGAAAAGGCGACGTCTGTTAGTTGACTATGTAGAATATACCTAATGTGGTGAAGGGTATCATATAGTCGGTCCAGTCCGACTTTACTACGTTCCTTACTGGTTTACTTGTTTTATTCACACATCAAGAAATAAATGCGATGTCGATTATTTTCCTCGCCAGAAAATCCAGTTGAAGCATTCAATACCCATGTTTGTGATTCGACAATTGGTTGGGTGCAAGCACAATTTTATATATTATACTGAAGATATATAATAAATATTTGTATCTTTATGATTATGGAAGAAATGAATATAATATCCCTCTTGTTATTAATATTTAATCTCCAAAAGGCCTTTATCTTGTCTTATCTTATACTTTCTTATGTTTTTATTATATCAACCAAACAGGGTAAAACCCCTCAGCTGCCAGGACCATATGTTCCAAACACCAATAACAATATATTGTTTATGGTAGCGATATTTCGTGACATTATTAATATATTGACCCACACAATTTTGCTTACTAATACCTTAGTGCCTATAAAAAAGATTAACGATTAAATATGAATATGCAAATGTAGATGTAGATGACAAAGAGAAAGCTGTTGGATTAAACAAAAATATATATTTTTCTTCTGACACCGCAAATAATCTTCCACATTTCTCACCTAATAATAATTTATGCCATTTTTTGTATGAATACCATTTATACAAATGATGTTGTTGTAATTAACATATTTCCAAAGAAATCTTAACAGTGGCTGATAAAATGTCACGTTCAATTTATTATCGTTAATTTTTGGAACAGAAACAAAATAACTTTTGTTTTTGTTTTCATTCAATACAATAAATATGAATATGGTTAATTCGCAATATGTAGGAAAACACATTGAAAGTCATTAATACAGGTCGGAATTGGAATATGGGCCATAGATATTCCACGCCCTAATATTTATAAACAAACCAAATTCTTCACATTTTGCATAAAAATCAAAGAAACTTTTGGTATCGATTTTCGAAACAATGAAAGTGAGATGATGGTTAGCAACATCAAAATATCAAAGTAGAACGCTTGGAAAAATAAACCATTATAACAAATATTTGGCTTAAAATGTTCTGGGTTTCTTTTCTTCTCTTCAAATGTAACACTTTCTCTTTTCTTTGTTTCTTTTTCTAATCGTTTTAGATGATATTTATGGTTATTAGTGTTTCATATTTATTTTCGTATTGTTTCTTTTTTTTACAAATACCAAAAAAGTCTAAAAACATATTAACATTAGCTTTTGGCTATGCGACACACAAAAAACTGATCTTAAGTTAATTATTTTTGTTTCGTAAAAATACAGTAGTAGTAAAGAAAAGATATAGCACTTTATCACAGCACTTATACAACTAAGTTTGTTTTATTATTTTAATTTTAATAAATATACACATATATAATTATTCCCCTAGGTTAGTTTTCAGTTTCACTCTCCCTCACTGGACCAGCAGCGATATTTTACCATTAAATTTCCCATTAACATTACTGGGCATATAGTAGACGGGGTAGGCACCTTCGGCAAAATTCAATGCCGATCCTTTCCTAGCCATTGACAGTTGTCCCTTGGCGATATTTGCTTTCGGCACTATCTCCATTTCTAGTGGTACGAAAACATTTTTCAATTCTCCTCGATGATTGGTGATCTTTTGGCTGGTATATGGTTCATAGGGTATTACGATGGTACTAATCGGCGAGTCTTTCATGGGGCGAGCATATGTTGAGAGAATTCCCACGACTGAGAGAAATAGTAGCCAACACTGAAATGAAGAAAATATTTATGTTACAAAATTGTAATATTTCAAACATAAGATATCATTATTTCTAAAACAAACAAAGAAAGGTTGGTCTCCGGCTTTTTTGAAAGGTGTGTGAAATAGACAAATTATTACATGTGATTAGCAAAGTTCATTAAAACCAGTACAAAATTCGGGGTTTTTATCTAAAAATTCGGTCAAAAATTTTATCATAATGATTTATATTTATGGGAAATATATTGATCTTGATATAAGCGGTTTTGAGCACGGAAAAGGACAATGAAAACTTGCGAATATCGATTTTTTGTCTTTGGGGACCCTATGTAAAATCATATGAGTGGTATTTTTAAAAAACTATTTGGAGTATTTATTTTATTCAAATAGAATAAATGAGTTCCGGAAATATAAGAATGAAAAAGACGGACTCGCTTCAAATTAAATTTACAAGTTTATAAAATATTTACCCTTTGTGGGGGAGGTAGCAGAAGAAGAGTACCGACGGTCCCCACCTTCGGACTTGATATAGGCTTCATAAAGATAATAGGATGTGCAAAGTTTCCAAAGTTTTCTTCCAAATACTCACATTAAAGGAATATTTAAAAATATTCCTAAGTCTGCGACATAAGAGACTACCAAAAAATATTATTTAAATAAATTCTTGAATGACTATTCAAAAATATTCTTTAAAAAATCCACGTCGGGTACAACTATAAAAAAATATTATTTAAAAAAATCTTGAATTGAGCCCACCCCTTGAAGGAGTATTAAAAATATTATTTAAACCAGTAAGGAAAGTAGTAAAGTCGGCCTGGGCCGACTATATGATAACCTTCACCACTTTGGGTATATTATACATATATATCCTAACAATTTCATGCCTATGTTCCCTCTTTCTACAACCTATCCTAACTTTAATTTCATTTGAGCAGATTTAGAGCCGTCTGGGTAAAATGGGGAAAATTTATGGAAAACTATTTATACCAAAATTGATACACGCTATTCGGTACGCCGAGTTGTTAAAAATATATTCTATATGTGGGAGCTATATCTAAATCTGAACCGATTTTCACGAAAATTAAGAGACATCTTTCTAGACTTAATTCAGTACGCTATGCCAAATTGTGTGCAAATCGAAGGATATACATAGAGAACTTGGTGTGCCATTCACATAAAATCGGATGAAAAAATATGTGGGAGATAAGTCGAAATCTAAACCGATTTTACCGAAACTCACCACTCATCATTCTAGATTCAATACAGTAGGCTATGCCAAATTTCATGCAAATCGAAGGATATAAAGGGACTTTGGTACACTATTTACTTAAAATCGGATGAAAATATATATGAGAGCTATATCTACCGATTTTCACGAAATTTAACACACATCGTTCTAGACTTAATTCAGCACGCTATGCGAAATTTTCCAAATCGAAGGATACAAAGGGACTTTGGTGCACTATTTACCCAAAATCGGACGCAAATATATATGGGAGCTATATCTTATTCTGAACCGATTTCCACAAATTTTAACACACATCGTTTTAGACTTAATTCAGTACGCTGTGCCAAATAAAATCAGACGAACATATATATGGGAGCTATATCGAAATCTCGACCGATTTTCCCGAATCTCACCACTCATCATTCTAGACTCAATTTAGTGCGCTAAGCCAAATTTTGTGCAAATCGAAGAATATAAAGGGACTTTGTTGTCCTATTTACCTAAAATCGGACGAAAATATATATGGGAGCTATATCCAAATCTGAACCGATTTTCATGAAACTTGACACACATCATTCTAGACCTAAATCATTAAATATAAATATAAATAGCAAATTTAAAGATATATAGGGACCGTTTGCATTAAATCGGAAATATATATGGTTGCTATATCTAAATCTGATAGCTTTGTGCAGCCCGCTAAATGTGGGTCCTAGACCCGCCTTTAAGTATACCGATAGTCATATTTCGACTAGCTGAGCCGAGCCATGTGTGTTCGTCCGTCCGTCCAGCTGTCCATTATAATTTGTAAACACGATACAGGCCACAGTTATAGACCACGAAATTTTGCATGAAGAATTGGTTCTGGCCAATGAAGATCCCAAGTGGTTTTGGTTAATATTTAGGGTTTGAAATAGACCAAAAACATTATTTTTGTCTGATTTTTTGGTCGCTCGAAAGGCCGCAATTATGGCCTGAACATTTTTACATGGAGAAGGAGATCGGGTCAAAGACTAAGCATGCCTGTTTTGATAAAGATCGGTTAAGCGATTTAGCGGGTATGCCACAATTGAAAGCCGAACATCACAACACAACCCACGGAATATGGACAAGTAATTAGAAGAGATATAGTGAATATTAGTAATATTTGTTGACCTCTAGTCGGCCAAAGGGTGCAAATATCGCGAAATATTAATTAATGAACGTCCTGATAGTCTATTTAAAAATATTCTTTAAATAAATAAATCCACGTCCTGAAAGTCTATTTCAAAAAATATTCTTTAAGGGAAACCCACCCATTCTCGATTTTAATTTTTCAAGATTTTCAATGGGCTGGTAAATCAATACCAATGCTTGTTAAGGTTTGTAACTTTGCACATATATATTTGAAGATTTAAATGTGAAGAAAAATCATTTACAAAAAATTTTTGTTATTGCTTTGTTGTTTTTTTGTAATTAAAGAAAAGTCCTTATTTTTGATGGCGGTCATGATAACTCTTCACTGGAACATCGGAAACCGAAAATTCCAACGGTGTTAGAAAGAGTACATGTCTGGCTCTCCTATGAACTAGGATTATAGACCTGGCCCAAAAAATAACAAAATGGCGGACCTTTGAAAAAATATTTTAGGAAAATCGCCGATTTTTGACCAAAAACCAAGTTAAAAAATAAGGAAGATCTTCACCGATTGGCTTTATCCTAGTTAATACGATAGATATACACTCACAGAGAAACGTGTACAAATTTGGAATCGATTGGGTTATTAGTTTTTGAGTTATCGTGCCCGCCATTCGAAAAAGAGAAAAACGCGTTTAAAGTTTGAGAAGCCCTTTAGCCGTCACTTGATACTGACACAATAAACCGGCTATATCTTCAAGAGTTCTTGAGATTTCCACTTGAAATTTTGTAGAGACTTTCTTGAATTAATGTAGAATCGAATTAAATCAAAAAAAAATTGACCCCGAGAATGGGGGGGGGGGGTCAAAATGTTTTTTAAAGTCTACGGTTCCCAAAGGTTTATAAAAAATATTTTTTTCAAAAATCCACGCTTAATAGACTATTAGAAAATTATTCTTTTAAGTCTACGCCTTGAAAGATCATTAACAATATTTAAAATAGAATCCACGTCTTAAAGGACTATTATTTTTTTTAAATCCACGCTCTGATGGTATTTTAAATGTTTTTCTTTAAAAAATCATCGCCTGGAAGGATTAGTAAAATATGTTTAATAAAATAAAAAATAAAAAATAGTATTTAAAAAATCCCCGCCTTGAAGGACTATTAAAAATAGTCTTTAAATAAATCGACGCCTTGAAATATCCAAGCCTTGAAGGACACTTTCATATATTCTAAAATCAATGTCAAGCCTCTGGGTGCTTTAGAAACCCCCACTTTTAACAATTTCACACCTTGTCAAGTCCATTAAAAATCAACAACATGAAAGAATATTTTAACAAATCCACATCTTGAATGTCCTTTACAAATATTACATTAAAATATACAGGCTTTTATGCACTTTAAGTTTACTCCACCCAAATACATGTCCTATTCAAATTAGCCAGTTTCGGTGCAGATTTTTATATAGTTCTTATAGTTATTCACATTAGATTTAAGTTATATTATCCAAATTGCAATTTTTTGTAAAACAAAACGTGATTTTTTGGCATTCAAACGAGTTTAGGTGGGTCCCAGGCAGAGCAGAGATTGATATTAGTGTATATTGGTCCCTTTACACGTTCTTTGTTTATAAACCCTTATATCTATGTTACTTAATAAATTTCAGCTGTTGCGATTTGATTCGTTCTCAGTCGAAGGTAAATTTCGGATTGGTTCTCAGTCGAAGGTAAATATCCTTTTAAAACCCTACGTCACTTATATTAATTGCACATTCGTTTAACACTTTAATATCACTAATTCTTAATAATATATATTTTTGATTTTCAATATTCGGAAAAATTTTAAGTTCATATTTTTTTTATTTTTCTTTCATTGCATTGCAGTTTGTATTTATATGTTTAAATATATCATTTAATTACCACTTGAAATTTCATTTTATTTTTTAAATTTTTTCAATTCGATTCACTGCACTTGAACACTTTGTAATCCTTGTTTGGCCAAACAATAAATGTTTTATGGCTGTCGTTGTGACAGTGAGCAGGATCTTTCGCTACAAGCTAGTAACAATTGCGAAGCTTTATAGCCGAACTAACTTTACGCTGTGATTAACAACTTGAGCTGTATGCAGTGACTAAAGTTTTTCAAATATATCTACAAAGTTTTATTCACAAAAAAGTGATGGTGGCTGTAATGCGGTTGATGGGGATGACGACGACGATGATGATGATGTCGGCGGCGGCGGCAATTCGTCTCCCGAAATCGTCTGTGATTATTTTTTGCCTCAAATGAAAACAAATTAAATAAAATTGATTGTCTTAGATTTGCCGAAATTTTGTTTTTTTTTTAATTTTTTTTATATATATTTATTTGTTTTTTTTTTTTTTTTGGCATTTGTGTATGAACGTACTCTTCTCTATGCTCAGTTCAGCTTATACATGTTTGCCGCAGTTTAGGATTGGCAATACCAAAAAGTATATCGACAAGATGCCACCACCAGCCTCACCATCATCATCACCGCCATCGTATTATCTCTTTAATACCTTCTTTTATATTCATAATGTCTTTACTAACTAACTTCAGTTCAGCATTCATGCTGATGAAAGAGGAGAGGTTGAACCAGTCAAAGAAACAAATCAAATGATTTTTTTCTGTTTGTTTGTTTGATAAAAAGGCGAAAAACTAGGTTTGGCTTTGGATCGCTGCTGACGTTGATGTTGACGTCAACGTTAACTAAACCCTGTGCCTAATGATGCAAACGCAGACGCTGATAATATCAGCAGCATTGTTGCCAGTATCATTATTGCCAGTGTTTGATGTTCATTCAAACATTCCAAAACAGCTATCAGTCATTGGTACCATAAGTAAGTAGTACTAGCAAAATGCGAACACTGTGATTACAAATAGAAATATTTTGGGGGCATTTGGTGCATCATTTAAATAAAAAATCGGGAGAAAAGTATATAGGAGCTGTACACCAATCTGATTAGATATAATTATCTACGCTTGGTCAAATGATGTCTCAACCGAACAAACATTGGGTATGTTGTGAACAATTTACATGAAATCGAACAAGAATTTTCTTATATGAGTTAAAACTTGGTAATAGTGCTGCAAAGGCTGCAGGCAACATAACCCAAGCGTTTGGGGAGAATACGATCGGAAAGTGCAGCGTTGGTTCGAAAATTTTCGGAATGGCGATTGAACTTGGTAATAGTGCTGCAAAGGCTGCAGGCAACTTAACCCAAGCGTTTGGGGAGAATACGATCGGAAAGTGCAGCGTTGGTTCGAACATTTTCGGACTGGCGGTTTTTCACTGCAAAATGAGCCGCGCGGAAGACCCAAAACGTCTGTAAAGAATGATGACTTGAAGGCTCTAGTGGAAGTGGATCCAGCTGTATCCACGAGGAAACTTGCTATCAGGATGGTAGTTGACCATACAACGATATTGAGACACCTTTCTTGGCAAAATTAAGAAGATGAACAAGTGGGTACCGCACGCTCTGACAGAGCAAAATAAAACAATTGCGAAACTGAACGAACTGGAATATGAAATTTTGCAGCATCCACCATATTCACCGGATCTCTTAACGACCGATTTTCATTTTTTGAAGCATTTAGAGCTGTTTTTAAGGGGCAAACACTATGAAAATGAAGACAGTCTAAAAACTCGATATCAGGCAAAAAAAAATCGAGATAGACCCATGTTCCTTTTGAGAATATGCATAGAATCACTTTCTAAGTCGATTTATGCATGTCCGTCCGTCCGTCTGTCTCTCTGTCCATGTTAAATTGTAAACAAAGTACAGGTCGCATCGGTTCAGATTTAGATATAGCTCCCATATATCTTCGTCCGATTTAAGGTAAATGATGCACCAAAGTCCCTATATATCTTTCGATTTGCACGAAATTTGGCACAATGTACTAAATTCAGTCTAGAATGATATGTGCAAAGTTTCGTGAAAATCGGTTCAGAATTAGATATAGCTCCCATATATAGCTTCACCAGATTTTAGGTAAATAGTCCACTAAAGTCCCTGGAAATCTTTTGATTTGCATGAAATTTGGCACAGCGTAATTAATAAGGTCTAGAAGGATGTTTGTCATGTTTCGTGAAAATCGGTTCAGATTTAGATATAGCTCCCATATGTATTTTCATCCGATTTAAGGTAATTGGTGCACCAAAGACCCTATATATATTTCGATTTGCACGAATTTTGGTATAGGGTACTGAATTAAGTCTAGAATGATGTTGCTAAGCTTCGTGAAAAGATCCATAGCTAGACCGATTGACACAACGTACTGATGTTATATAAATTAGTCTATTGCAAGTCTCTGGCAAGTTTCCCTGAAATCGGTTCAGATATAGATTTATAACAAAACGCGTCGTCTGTTTGGATACATATGTAAAATATACCCAAAGTGGTGAAGGGTATCATATAGTCGGCCCAGTCCGACTTTACTACTTTCCTTACTAGTTATTTTATGTAAACTCTCAATGTTTGTTCAATTGAGGTTAAGGAATTTAGAATACCATACCCTATCATGTTTATAAAGAGGTGTGCGAAGTTTCGTTGAAATCGGTACAGATTTAGATATAGGTCCCATATGTATGTAAAAGCTTTCGATTTACAGGAAAATTGGCAGAGTCTACTGAATTGAGTTTAGAATGATGTGTGTTAAGTATGTTAAAATCGGTTGAAATTCAGATATAACTCCCACATATATTTCTTTCTGGTGAACCGAAGACATGTATTTTCTTCCATATATATGAAATTTGCACAGCGTGTTGTATTACGTCTAGAATGACGTGTGTTAAGTTTTTTGTAAAATATGTTCAGATGTAAATATAACCTCTCATTGCTCCCATATAGCTCCCATAGATAATTTAGCTTGATTTCATACAAATGATACGCTAAAGAACCCAAGTCTGCCCGATTTAAAAATTTTATGTTTTTTCATGGCCCCCATAGAAAGGTTCCGCTCCATTTTCAGTATTATTATTGGTTTTACTGAATTTTCTCATCGAAGTGGCTATAATTTGGCATAACGGATTCCTGGTGATTAAAAAACCTTTTTTTCGGAAATATGTATAAGTTAATGAAAATGAATCAGAAACCCATCAAATAAAAAAAACCAGTAAGGAAAGTAGTAAAGTCGGACGGGGTAGACTATATGATACCCTTCACCACTATGGGTATATTAAAAAGATGCATCCTAACAAAAGGGTTATTAACATTAAATTGGATGAATTAAAATATGTGACCATTATCTAAATTTGAATCGACTTAGATCAATCCATAAACATGCCATTCGTTTGTTACAATGGGAAAAAAATGTAAATCGATTTAGAGGGACCCCCCCATTCTCGGGGTCAAAAAAAAATTTTATTTAATTCAAATCTACACTAATTCAAGAATGCACCTAAAAATTTTCATGTGAACATCTCAAGAACTCTTAAAGATATAGCCGATTTATTGTGTCAGCATCAAATGACGGCTAAAGGGCTTCTCAAACTTTAAACGCGTTTTTCTCTTTTGCGAATGGCGGGCACGATAACTCAAAAACTAATAACCCAATCGATTCCAAATTTTTACACGTTCCTTTGTGAGTGTATAGCTATCGTATGAACTAGGATAAAGCCAATCGATGAATATCTTCCTTATTTTTTAACTTGGTTTTTGGTCAAAAATCGGCGATTTTGGAATAATATTTTTTCAAAGGTCTGCCAGTTTGTTAATTTTAGAGCGAAGTCAATAATCCTAGGTCATACGAGAGCCAGACATGTACTCTTTCTAACACCATTGGAATTTTCGGATTCCGATGTTCCAGTGAGGAGTTATCATGCCCGCCATAAAAAATAAGGACTTCTCTTTAATTACAAAAAACAACAACAAAACAATTACACTTTTTTGTAAATTATTTTTCTTCTCTTTTAAATCTTCAAATATATATGTGCAAAGTTACAAACCTTAACAAGCATTGGTATTGAAAATCTTGAAAAATTAAAATCGAGAATGAGGGGGTTCCCTTAAAGCAAATATCAATCGGGCACCCTTTGAATATTTGGAACCCAATTAACACGAAGTCGGTTGAAAAATTCATTCTATTTAAAAAAATGAAGTGTTTGGTGCAACATTTTCTTAAAATCGGATAAAACATATACGGATTTCAACGAAACTTGTTTAGGTTAGACTAATTTATGCACGTTTTGTTCCTAATGGGCATATTTTGGAACTGTATCTAAATCTGGACCGATTCCAACAAAACTGTGCAAAATTTTGTGTCAATCGGCTTAACATAAAATTCTAGTCTCAATTCAGTACGTTATGCCTAATTTTGTGCAAATCAAAAACTATATATGGACTTTGGCGAACCATTTACCTTAAATAGGTCGAACATATTTTACACACACCATTTGGACTCAATTCAGGGACTTTGCTACACCATTTACATTAATTCGGACGAAAATATATATGGGAGCTATATCTAAATCTGAGCCAATTTTTCCAAATAGGGTTCGTCCTTGGGCCAAATAGACGAGCTGTGACAAATTTCATCCAATTCGGATCATAAATGCGACCTGCACTTTGTTTACAATTCAACATGAACAGACGAACGGACATGCATAAATCGACTTAAAAAGTGAGTGTCAAAAAGGAATTATGTGTCTATCTCGTTTCCTTTTGCCTGTTACCAAACATATGCACCACAGTGTAGTGAAGGGTATAAATATTGCCTAATGAGACTAATATACACCTCAGAAAACACAAGAATTATAGAAGCGTGTCCACTGTCTAGTGCGATAGGACAATGGATTTTTCAGCTCTAAGTGCAACTCAAGCAAGGAAAGTTTCAGGCATTTTGTATCTCTGGCCACCATGATTTTGTGATTTAGCACCTAACGGCCACATCAATTTAAGACCTTAAAGAACGAATT